TGCCACACAGAAGTAATTCCTACAAGGTTAAGAACAGGACATACACGCACAACACATTCAATTCTTTTATCTGGAGGTGATCCACCTTTGTGTGACAGATGTAGAGAAGCAGTGACCGTACTCCACATTCTGATCCAGTGTAAAGAGTTAAACACGCAAACAAGACAACAGTTTCCATCACCCTACCGACAACAGATACCACTACATTCTACAGAGTTCGTCGGTAGGGAACAAAGTTTTACTCATAAAATATTGGTAGCTTTTTTAAAAGAAATTCGTACTTTTTATGTCATATGCTCGGGCATTTTGTAGCACGACCTCTCCAGAGAGGTATCCGCTGCGATGGCCACACTCAACAAAGCACTTGCCTCACGGCCTTTGGACGTAAAAATGTGAACGATCGAGGCAATAGTGCTTATGCCTTGCGCGCCCACCATGGTTTTTTGTTATCACAAACTTTCATCATTCATTACCACTACACACTTTTCATGGCATCCTCATGATTTTATTACTTTTACGTCTTTACCCGCCTTAGGACGAGGAATTTTAAGGCCCTTATAGAGCCGCTTATCACAATCATTGTCCATATCTTTAGTAAGATGAACTAGCGCTCTTTGGTGATGAAATGTCCCTGGCGTTTATTTCTTTGTTCTTTTCAGGGGCGAAGCTCCTTATAACGGCATTTGTTCGTCCCTGGTAGCCGTTGTAGTGTATAACAAGTATAACATTTTCACCTCCAAGGTGGTGCCAGTGAGAGATTTCTTCTGTGTGTTGTTGAACAATAAAAATAGTGCTCAGTGTACATGCCAATGGCTGCTAATAGGAAATGAGAGACAGGAGCATTCGGCTTTTAGTTAACGCGCACGCTGCGATCCCCATTACCTGCCAATAGCATGTACAATGAGCACTACTTGACAAGAAAGTGTTGCTACGTTATACTCGCTGGGTGTAATCTCCTTGGTTTTAATAAGGTTAAGCGAGCGTTGGGCAGCAGTGCCATGAATACAGTGAACTAGTATATACCATGAACTCGAGGTGGTTAAAGGTGGGAAGTAGACCCGAAACGCAAGCCATAAGAAAGTGTGCGTGTGCCACCTCTCGTTTAGTCCTTGGAATGTCCGCTGAATGGTGGTGCTTCTATATGGGGAATATATGATGAAAAGATGCGAGATGGTAGTACTTAGAGTGTTCAATAGATAGACGAACGGACACACAGACAGATGCATGGATGAACGCAGGAACAGACGCAGTGGCGGATGCATGGACGAACGCAGGGATGGACGCACGAACATACGCACGCACGAACAGGCGGATGGACGCATGGACGGATGGAAGCAAGAACGAATGGCCGGACGAATGCTTCGCCCCACTCTCCTTCATTCACTCCGAGGATATGCTGCCAATTTTTTATAATACACACCGGAACACTTTCTGTAAGAACCTGCCTAATGGAGCGTGGGTCTCTTATGCCTTGGCGATATCACTGTCTAATCTGTAAGAAACCAGAAACTATTCACCATGTTTTCCTGCACTGTTGGAAAGGAGTTTACTTTTGCGGCGTATTACAAAGGACAATGAAAGAAGACTTCCCGTTAGACCCTCATGGGATCAGGTATTTAACCATAGAGAATAAGGATAAATTACTTTTCGATTTTATCTTGATGACTGCCTTGCAACGTATATGGCGCTCTAGAATGGCTGGATTTCACTGTGATCCTGACAGGAGACCAGCACGAGAGTATATAAAGAAAGTATCTCAAGATATCTCGACGTAGTAAAAACATACGAATGTGTACCTTTATGGGTAGAAAGGGTACAAGTCTTACTGGCCATGAAGGAATTCTAGGACGTGATGTGGTATAGTAATGCTTGATCGATGGCTTTAGTTATTTTTCCATTTTTGTATTGTGTGTATTGTAATATATCTTAGCAACTAGTTTGTAAAGTTAAACCGGAAATACGGGAAATAGAGCGTAGCGTAGTGGGTAGTGTACTCGGTTAGAAAACGGATGGTGTCGAGTTAAAATTCCGTCAAGAAGCATTTTATTTTTTTCGTTTTTTGTTTTCATATTTATTTTGAATGCGTGCTATTTTTTATATATTTATTTATTTATGGCGCATGAATACCCCCGTTTTAACGCTGTGAAGCCGTATTGCGCAGAGTACTAGGACGCTGCCACTCCAGCGTCCCATTACCAGCGCTTGTAGCCACTGGTACCAGCGCCATAATGGGCCCATAATCTGGCATGGCGCTGAACGCTGATACCCAGTGGTGCTCGTTTTCGCAATAAGGAGTGAGGTGCGTAATACTTCTTTTCCTGTTGTTTTTATACATATGCACTGAACGCTATTTCAACAGAGCCTTTAGTTTCGTTATTTTGAGATCCTGGAATAAAAATGCCGAATGAAAGTCTTGTGGTTTATTGTAAATAGCTCGGAGAGTCTTTCATTCATTACTTAGAGCACATGCTTATAGTAGTTTGAAAAGTTTTGCTCAAACTAGGCAGCAATGGTTTAAGGAGTTCAAAAAGAGTGAAAGTAAAATAATTATTTCAAAAAGCTAGGAAGGTATTTTTGGCATTTGATGATTCCTGTAATTTGCGAAAGTTTCTCTGTAAGAATAATAATATCGCTAACTCACGTCCTAATCTGATCAATCATTACACCTAACAATTATAAAGAATTGACAAGTTAGATTGGTTATACTTAGGTGTAAATCATCTTTAAAATTACACGTGTATTTTCACCGTGAAGCAGGACCGCTTTAGGTTTGCCAGGAGTAATGATGATTCCTCTGTCAAGAGACCACGACAGCAATTTATCCAAAACTGCATTTGGTTTTGCTATCAATTCGTCTTGACTGCTAAATAAAAACATAAGCAGAGTGTCAGCATTAGAGATGATAGCACATTAGCATGTGCTATCATCAAGGTATACATTGTCATGAAGAAAAATATAAATAATAGGGGATCAAGGATAATTTGTTGGGGCACGCCGACATTAGCTGAACAATCTTGAGATTTAATGCTATTTATCTGCACTAACTCCTGTTTATGACCTAAGTAAGACCTTATTATTTCTAAAGCAATGCCACGTATACCGTAACGACATAGCTTTCTGTGCAGAAGTTTATGACTCATGGAGTCGAAAGGTTTTGACAAATTAACAAACTCTCATTCTTGACAAGCTTTCTTCAAAATTGTTTAAACTTATTTCTTTGTGTTCATGCAGAGCAAGCTGCGTTGATCTGTTTTTTACGGAAGCCATGCTGATGCTAAGTTATCAGACAAAGTTTGTAGTGGAACTCGGAGGCTCTAACAAGCATAATTTTTTGGACTTCTCGAGAAAATGGAAAGGCTAGGTACAAGTCTATATTTGGATAAAATAGTAGTGATTTTTTTTAAAGAGAACAACTAGTTTCACAATCTGCGTTATTTGGGGAACGAAACAGAAGACTGGCAGATATTATAATTATGTGCAAATAACGGCGCGATTTGATCTAGAATGACCTTTTAGGCTTGATTTTATTGCTATTCGAATCACAAGGGTTAATAACACTTAGTCAGAAACACAGTGCAATGGCATCTGAATCAGTTTTGTACGTAGAAGGATTGAACGCTCGCAATTTGACCTATTGAAATGGCATGCATCTCAACTACCATTTCTTAGAGGAAGGTTAGCAAAGTAATCATTGAAACAATTCACCTTTTTTTTCTGCACGTATTCTCGCTCCATCCGAAATCATACTTATACGTGCCCTTATATTTCACCATCCGTTTGACAAGGAGTTGAGCAAACGCCGTGTTTTATTGCTGTCCTGACCAAAAATGACAACGCTGTCTTATAATACGCTGTCTTATAATACGCAGGAGCACGCAGTTGCTTAGAAAGGCTATTTCGAAACATTCTCGATATACTTAAGCCATTGGATTCTGTGATGCTTTGAACTTCTGAAAACACTTTGCCTTCTTTTGCAGTTAACGTGTCACCAATAGTTTAAGTTTACTTGACACGAGAGAAAAATTTTGATGGGAGTCGTAGTATAAAATAAACTTTTCCAAAAAAGCGTCATAAGTACCGTTCGCACGTGTAGCAGACATAACTTCATCGCATTGCTCGTGACACAAGTAATTGCGAAAAAATTGTTTAACAGAAATATATACAGGCCTGTGATCGCTTAAGGTTTGAGAAATAGTGCAACCATTCTCTATGAATATTTCACGAATAGTAATGAACAAGTTAAGGCATGCTATTGTGTCACACGCAACTTATTGGCGTATTTGTATTATTGAATCAACCATATGTGTTTAAACCTTATGTCAACAACGTAATTATTCTGTATTTACTTTCTTTGGAAATACAGCCATGTCTGAGAAGTCACAAGGACCTCAAATATAGTGCGCATCAAATTTCCTGTATATACCACTTTCAGGTTGCAGAGTTGCGCATTTGATAAAACTCGCCACTGGCACCTCCATTCGCCAGGCATGCTCACGTGCACAAAAAGCATTTTTCAGAGGAAAGTCAATTCACCGGTGCACCCATGCCTACTAACGTCCCTGCTCAACAACCCTCACCATGGTCCCAACAGTAAAGAAAGACAATCCGCCTTGGTGCGGAATGTTTTTGTTGTTGTTACGGTGGTCTTTTGTACTTTAACTTCTCAATCATGGTTAAATTTTTGTTGCCTGTGCGGTACAGGCAGGTGACTGGGTGCTACGAAGTTGCGACAATTGGCAGAGTGCTGCGCTTCCTGCTGCGCGAAGCGACAAGACACCGGAATCGCTGTCTTCTTCATTCGATGTGACAAGCTCGTGACCCATTGCCATCTTTAGTGGGCGCTGCGCCATTTAACGTACATCTTGCGTTGTCTTTTATATAAACGACGAAATTTCATGGTTTACTTGTTTCGCAGTAAGCATAGGCTGAGAAGTTCATTGCTATTTCGGAAAATCTTCACTTTCCTCAAGATAACTTACTGACCGATTCTGTTCTTGCAGATACCCGCTGTTCCGCTAAACCCAATGGTAAGCATATTGTTTGGGTGTTTTTTTTTCACCAAAGCATACATTATCGAAACATCGAAGCTGCTGTTTAAAGAACGCTACTCATCCGCAGTTCACCCGCGTAAAAGGAGTAACAGCTGTGAGGGTCCCTTGAACACTCACGTAAGTCGTATAGAAGACAAAAGTCACCTCATTTTTTTGTCCATTTTTGGTCTCCGTTGGTGTATTCTTCTCCACCAACCTTCGAAAGCTTTCGGCACCTAGCGAGGTTTTTCATTACCCTGTTCTGCACTGCCCCCATCATTACCCTCTTTTGATTAAGTCCTGATGTAGTGTGATAACCTAGTCATGTGACGTCATAGTGAATCTGATGAATTCATGATATCGCACATATTTTGATGAAATGTGGTGTCATGACGACGTCACACTGAGACGTCGTCACGTGTGAACGCTGGCAACGAGGACGCTGGTAAATATTCGCATTTGTTGAGGCACCCAAGGCTCTCCCTGGGTAGGGCTTTGAAAAACTCGCCCCACTGCGGTGGTCTAGTGGCTAAGGTACTCGGCTACTGAACCGCAGGTCGCGGGTTCGAATCCCGGCTGCAGCGGCTCCATTTCCGATGGAGGCTGAATTGTTGTAGGCCTGTGTGCTCAGAATATGGTGCACGTTAAAGAACCCTAGGTGCACAAAATTTCCGTAGCCCTCCACTACGGCGTCTCGCATAATCATATGGTGGTTTTGGGACGGTAAACTCACATAACAATCATCGGCTTTGAAAAACTCAAGTATCTGGTATTCTGTACTGTGGACTGACAATGTACGGTGCACTGGCTTCTACCATTTCACCTCCATTGAAGTGGCACCTCCACAGCCGGGATGGTATCCGCTGGGGAGCCGACAGTAGCGAAATAGTGTCTTATGGGCGCTGTACATATGTATTTCATGTTGGAATAGAAAATACCATTTCTAACCAAGTTTTTTACAAGATCGCTCAGTCGGCTTACCAGCAGAGGGAAGAAAATGAAAGACGCCAGGATGATTCGGTTGGATAACAGCGTTCCGGGGCGTTGTCATGCTTTTCACGTAGGCATTTAATGATATCGAACGCCTACGTGAGAAGGGATCAGTGGGCAATTCGAAAGCAGAAAAGGTACATAGACCAAACAAACAAATGAATAAATAAAGTAATAAAATATCAGCAGTATTGCTTGGCCCACACCGGCTGAGCCAGTATGTTTTTCTCATATACAGGAAGGGCTCCTTTATTTTCATAGGTTGAGTGCTTTTCAAATACTTATATCCATCTTTCATTTTATTTTACAGAATAAACAACACATTTCTCCTCTGTGATCATTTCGAATGTCGCAACACACTTTATAGCAGAAGAGTATTGTCTAAAGTGATTGCTTGCACACTCGGAGATAAGGGTGCAGTATAGCAAGTTGGACTTGGGCCCTGGTGTTCGAGTTGTATGTTTAAGCAGGGAGAGTAGACATTATCTTTCTCATGCATTTTCCCCCCTGTTGCACAACCATATTCTAAATAATCAGAGCATATTCACGTATTACTTACCCACCACGTTTATACGGGGTGTACGATGCTCCACTACTGACCCAAAGGTCACAGCATAGAATTCCGGTTGCAGCGACGGTACTTTTGAAGGAGGCGAAAATGTTTGCTGTCCACGTTGTCAGACCAAGTTATACGTTAACGGAGCCAGGCGGGTTGAAAGTTGTGGATCCCTCCATTGTGGTGACCCTCATACTGATGCCCCTTGTAAAGCCAAACGCAACGTTTATTATAATATAACACATATCTTTGCTCTTTATTTCGCACTGCCAGCTTGTTTCACATACCATAAGCCAGGAAAAGATAAAATGAAAGTCATCTTGATTAAGCCACTATGTTGGCCGTAGGTAGACACTAAATTTTTTAACCGCGTATGTTCATGAAATCTACAACACTGGGCAATATTATCAAAACTAAGCGAGACATCGTATAAACGCCTCATTTCCAAGAACGCACTAATAAAAAAAAGCTTTTGTGAAACTCTATTATTTGGCTTCCTGCCCTTAAAGAATGAAACGTAGGAAACTTATGAAGCTTAAAAATTTATTTCTTTCTTCAAAGTGTGCTCGTACCCACTTGGGTAATCCTGAAGTTTTTATTCTGCTATCAATGCGTGCGACAAAATTATCAGACTGAAATGCCTTCTGATATGATCTTCTGGGCATTAAAAAGTAAAGGGGTCCGCTAACGCTTAAAAACATAGGTGCTGACTGCATGACTGGCTGTGGCGCTCGTTAGAACTATTGCGAGTTAAAATGACGACAGAGAGCGGGGCCCTGTATTTGGCAAATTTAACGTTAAATGTGATCACGGTATTACTATTCGAGTTATCTTTAGAATGGTTTTACGCCGAACGCCGAAGAAAATAAAGCTTTCCAGCTTATTCAACTTAAAAACTGCAAAGTCAGTCAAAGAATGCACGAAACGCTACGATGCTGGAACGTGCAATGAGGCATGCAAGCTTACTGTACTCAAGGCTTTCAGTTTATTTTAATGCGCAGCTTTGCGATATCACAGGGTGAGAGAAACAAACTCAGGTGAGCCGCGAAAATCAAGTTGAGGGTAAGCATCTATATGTGTGTATTTTGATATCTCTACGCTGAATACCTGCCCTGCATACCTCTATCACTGCAGTTGTTGCTGCACTTATCTTCCCAGCTTTCAGGGTGCTCAAAAAGCTAGAAAATTGTGTACATCAATCAGGTCATCAACTGTGCTAAAGGTTCCCTTTAAAGGAATGCTCTTTGACATTGTCTTTCAAGTACAACTAAGAAAAAAAAACTTTCAATTTTGACAAGAAGGCAGCTGAGAACTCGTGCAGTGCTCTTGCGTTCTCGTTCTCTGGCTATTCAAATATCATTGACTGCACGACGCCACTTCTCGGGGGTTAGCGAAAGGAACTCATGTCTGCTGTGGCACGACAAATTTGGTCACGCGGATTGGGGTCAACTGTATTCTCCGTCATTGAAGTCAAATGTGTCCTTTAAAACAAGGGTACCGAATTGGGTATCTCTGCGACGAAGATGAGGAGGACCGAAGAAAATCGCTGGACATTAGAGTGCACGCGTTCATCCTATTTCTCTTGGTGACTTACAGCGGAAGTGGCAATGAAAAAGATAGCGACTTCCACTTGCATTCAAATAAGTTCATTGAAGTGATGTGGATAGTTCATTCAGCCCTACGGGTGTTTTTGCAATAAGTTTACTGGAGCATAACTTTGGTATTTAGCTATTTAATGTTACGAGTAACTTGCTTAATGATATATTTACAGTGCACAGAACACGACGAGCAAGATGGCGCCAGTCCAGCATCCAATGAAAACTCACTTCGTCCTCCTCTTTCATGCAGCCGTGTTTAGCGGCTGTTTTGTATCATAACCCCCGACGGTAGAAGCACCGTCCCGGTGCTAAATTTACGCAGGTGATGTCGAAGGGAGGTAATAGGGCTTTAGCCGAGCCACGTGAACGGTGTCGCTCGGAGCTGACGATGACTTTGTTGGATCGGTTGGAACAATCTCGTACGTGACGTCTGTCACTTGGCGAACGATACGGAATGGTCCAGTGTATGGCCACAACAGTTTTTCAGACAGTCCCACACACCGAGTAGGTGACCAGAGGAGCACGAGAGAACCCGGAGAAAAGTGCACGTCTCTATGATGAGAATTGTAGAGCTGTTGTTGGCGCGCCTGTGAAGCCTGTAGACGGTCATTGGCAACTTGGCGCGCGTGGTCGGCGCGGGCAATGGCTTCCCCAGCATATTCAGTTGCCGCAGGTAGTAAAGTGTCTAAGAGTAGAGTTGGGTCCCGGCCATATAATAGATAGAAAGGCGAATAGCCGGCAGTGTAGTGACGAGATGAATTGTAGGCGAACGTCACATACGGCAAATGAATGTCCCAATCATGGTGGTCTGGTGCAACGTATTTGGCAAGCATATCGGTAAGGGTCCTGTTAAGGCACTCCGTGAGGCCATTTGACTGGGGATGGTACGAAGTAGTAAATTTGTGCTTGGTATGGCAAGACCTCAGGATTTCATGAACGACAGCTGATAAGAACGTGCGGCCACGGTCAGTTAAAAGTTGACGGGGAGCACCGTGCACTAATATTATGTCGTACAGCAGAAAGTCCGCAACGTCGGTAGCGCAGCTGGTCTGGAGTGCTCGTGTGATTGCGTACCGCGTCGCGTAGTCCGTGGCAACAGCAATCTATTTATTTCCGGCTGTGGAGAGTGGAAAAGGGCCCAACAGGTCGAGACCAACTCGAAAGAAAGGCTCGTTGGGAACGTCAATCGGCTGAAGGTAGCCGGCTGGGAGGGCACACGGCGTTTTGCGACACTGACAGGGCTCACAAGCGGCGACATAGCGTCGAACAGAGCGGGCAAGTCCAGGCCGAAAAACCGACGTTGTACCCGATCGTATGTGCGAGAAACGCCCAAATGGCCCGTCATGGGAGCGTCATGAAGTTGATGCAGGACAGTGGAACGCAGGTGCGCTGGGATGCCAGGAAGTAAGTCTGATCCGAGGGAATCAAGGTTACGGCGATATAGGATCCCGTCTTTCACCAAAAAATTGCCCGCAGCTTCCCTCGGGGGAACACTGAGGAGGATGCGGAGCATATAATTGGTTAACGGGGTGTTAAAGTGCGACTTACTTGGGTCGATGGCTAAATTGGTTAACGTGGTTGTAGGAGGGGGTGTTAAATGAGTGAACACGTACACACGTATGCGAAAGGGCGGCGCTGGTCGAAGGGACGTCGATCATTGTGTTTGTGGATTCGTTGGAATTCATTTCACCACAACCTTGGACGTCGACGCGCCGTACAAACCAACCGACGAGCGGCAACTGAGCGAGCGAGCGCCGACCTTGAGTATATATACAGCGCGACGACGCATGCACTGTCAGCTGTCGAATGTTCGAGAAGGGGGAGAAGCGCAACGGCGCATGCGCGCGCGTCAG